TCAGTCCCTGCGTCAGAGGAATCAGAATTTGTGTTTCTTTTCTGTCCTTTTGCAGGGGGCTGCTCTTGCCCCATTTCCTTGTCTGAATCCATCGCTTTTCTTCTCTTGAGACCCACCTCTACCTTCTCTTGTGAGTCTTTTCCCTCAAGCAGGCCTGTTGCTCTTGGCGGCTGAGCATTGCTTTGAACGCTGTTGGTTCCTTGCTGAATAGGTCCTCTGCCTGTTCCCGGATTGAGCCCAGGTCCCATAACAAATCTTCCCTTGCTTTCTCTTCCCTAACCATGCGGGAGTCGATCAGTGGATTTGTGTTAATTTTTGTTGGATTCCCCGTAATCTTACCTGTTGCCTTCTTCTGCCATCTGCTGTCTGCGGGAGGAAAAATGTTGGGCTTTTTGACTGTGGGCTCCCGGTCTGCTTAATGCCATACCCAGTCTGGGTCACCAAGGTTGTCATCGAAGACCCAACCATCATAGGTAGGGTCGATGATGAACCATGTACCCGGGGCATCCCCGACCTCCACTAGCATGTTGGGGAGAAGTTTCCGTTTTTTTGATTGCTTTGGAAACTTTGGGCACCTTGGATTTGTGCCCCAAGTGCCCGCACCCCCTGCATCTGAAACGGACTGGAGAAGTTTTCGTTGAGACACTGATTTCGAGGACTTTGCTTTCGATCTGAAATTTCCAGATTTCTGGAAAGACCCGGGGGTCATCTGTTATGACTTCAAGCAGGGCCGGCGACATTGGAACAAAATAGCCGTGAAGCGGACGGGCAGTTTAATACTCATTATGCTTCAAAAATTGCAAATCTCCACTCCAAGGTTTTCAAACTTTTCGCAGACTTCTGAATCGCATTGAGGCTTGTTTGCAGGTAATTCAGGAAATTTGTTCGGAGACGACCAGTGTTTTGTAGTACAAAGCATTCAGGTAAAAAATACGTAAAATCTTTGCAATTGAGAACCTACGGGGGGAAGTCACTTGATTCCTGCAGTAAGGACGTCTTCACCCGAATAGAACGCCCGGTCATTATACCTGAATGCGGACGGAAAATTGCACTACATACGGCTATAATGACCCGGCGTTCTATTCGGGTGAAGGTGGTAGGCACCATTGCACAGCATGATTATTCCGGGATCTCTTCACATCCAAAATGACAGCGTCAGCAAATATCGGGATCACACAGGTAAGAAAGGAACTTATGAACACCTTGAAAAGGCCAGAAGCAATGTGGGTATACCATATATTTCATTTCTTGATTGCTGTTGGAGAACGAACGGAGCTGTTGCTCTGCGAAATAGAATGTGACTATGACAATAAGCTCGAGTTAAATTTAACCGCAGAAGGAGGAAAAGGAGAAGAAGGAGAAGAAGGAGAAGAATTAGGGCAGAACAAACATGAACAGGTAAAAAAACACCTGTCGAAAAAACAGGTTCAATGGAGGGTAAACAGCCGTTGCTAATGAAACAACTTTCACGCCCCACAACCGCTCACCAAACACCATCAGTACGCATCCCTTGGCGCGTTTCGACTTGCGCGTACATACAAGTCTCATCAGGAGGATTCCCAACCACCACCTACGACAGTTCGGTGAACAGGCATGCCTCATCCACAGTCTTTATAGCCCACAACTATGTCTTAATCCCCCTCTCTTTCCTCTATCCCTTTCTTCTTTTTCCACGTTCTCACTCCCCACATCACAGCCATAATCCCTCTGCACACGACAGTCCAGTGTTCGTATCTTCATACTGTCCCTATCATCATCCATAATGTACCAGCCTTCAGGCATCACAGCACAGCAAAACGGGAGCAGACTTCCATCATCGTATCCGTGCTCCCCCAATCAATGAAAAGGAGCAAGCCTCGCCTGCCATCAAAATATACGCACAGCATCCTCTGTCAAGAACCTCAGCGGACTACTGGCACCCTCGCTGCCCAAAAAACTGGTTCAGCTGGGCACACCCGTTCTACTGCACACTGGGCCCAGTCCGGTGTACTGGGAACCTCTGCCCCACTAGTCTGAACCGATGCCCAAAAGCACAGACCTACTCACACTCCCCAGGACATAGTACCAGGTATACCTGGTGCCCAAAAACTTCAAAAACGGTCCGCTCGATCCTGCTCACCCCTGGATTCTTCTTTTTTTTTTTTTTTTTTTCTTTGTTTGAGTCATTTCATTATTCGATTGAAAACCAGGGCTGGGGACCTCACAATTCCACTCGGGGTTATCTTGGCAGCATTAGCCAGTTTTGCTTATGGTGAAATCAGAAAAAAAATAAAAAAATGCAGTTCCCTAAAAACGAAAGACCGAAGAAATAGAGCCTGATAATGATCGAAAAAGGGGTTCACCAAGGATCTAGTCTTAGCAGCTTGAAAATCCCCCCTCCTGGACAGTCAGCTATCCCCATCTCCCTAACCTGAACTCTCCTTTTTTCTCCCCTGGCTAAGTAAAGTTGCTTAAACCCTAAACCCTTCTTCCCCTTCCTTCCTCCTGTCTTCGTTCTATCCTATCTTTCTGCTTCCCTCTCTTTCTGCTTCTCATTTGCAAAGATTCTTTAAATGATATTAATGTTTACTTTTCTTACCACTTGTCCCGTAGTGTCATCTTACTCTAGTTTAATCCTTCTATTCTCCAATTAAATATCGATTTGGAACCCTGCAAACTAGCCACTACTTTCTCCTGTCCCAGCACCTTTTGGATGAAGTTGGCAAATGGTGTTTTTGAGCCTGTTCAGGTCTTTGCCGAATTTGCGTCTGTACCCTCCACCATTGCTCGCGGATGTCCGTTTCCAGGAGATTAAGGAGGGTCTCTCTTGCCTCGCTTCTGTGCATTGGCCGTTTATCAATGGTAACTTGGCACCGTCGCTTCCAAACAGTCCAGAGGCTGTATTCCCTTATCAGCTGAAACATTTGTTTTTCATATTTTTTCCATTCTCTTGGGAGATCGATTCCTAACAGCCTGGTGGTCTTGCTGTCAGGGAAGGGGGTTGTTGAGATTTGTGCCCAGAGGTTCTGGGCCTTTTCCCATAATTATCTTTCCTCCTGGCCTGACAAGAGGCTCCATGCTTGACACACTGCGCACTGCGCGTTGGCGGGGTCTCTCTGTGCTAGGCTCCTCCTCTCATTTAGCCATTTGTTCACCGGGAGTGCCACGTGAGCTATTAGCCACTGCATGATCCTGACCCTGCCAATGCGGATCTTATTAACCAGCTGCCAACTTTTATTTCATTTTTTTTTCCATTTTTTTCATTTCCATTTTCCCGCTTCCGCCTATGGTACGCACCACCCCCCGCCCCCCCCCTCGTCCTTTTACGTACCAGATAAGTCACACCGTCACAAATCCAAGGCTTCCGCTTTCCAACAGCTATTCCAAAGGGTTCAAAAACGCAGTACAGATTACCATTGCAATGAGACAAGCACCCCTTATCGGGTTGTTCCTGAGGCATCCGTATCCCCACTTTTTTTCTTACCTCCCGCTCAGCATCAGTGTATGCGAGCGGTGGGGGTACCCTTGCGAGATTCAAGATCGCCAGTGACCGCCCACCACCTTGGCGAACCTAGCCAAGGAACCGAAGAAGAAGAAGAAGAAGAAGAAGAAGAAGAAGAAGAAGAAGAAGAAGAAGAAGAAGAAGAAGAAGAAGAAGAAGAAAGGACTGGGAAAGCCTTCTCGTGACGGATGACTATGTGGATGTGGAGATGGACCACAAAAGAACAATGAGGATGCAATACAAGTCGACGTTGACACATAGATTGCGTAAACATATCGGATCAGAGACCAAGATCATAGCGAAGTTGGGCTGGGAAAGTCTTCTCGTGACGGATGACAATGTGGATGTGGAGATGGACCACAAAAGGACAATGAGGATGCAATACAAGTCGACGTTGACACATAGATTGCGTAAACATATCGGATCAGAGACCAAGATCATAGCGAAGTTGGTTCCTCCTTTCACATCAAGATGCAAACAATGATGCTTCACCACTCGTTACGTCGGCTTGCATTTGCATGCTCGTTGTCCTGTTGTGGTCCATCTGCACATACTTACATAAAGGACCGGGACAGTCTTTTCGTGACGAATGACTCAAAACTACACGTAGACAAACGGTTAACAGAAAAGAAACAGTACACTGCACCGCTCAGCATTGTGCTGAACAAAGCGCGCCAAGAGTGGACGGTCTCTCCAAAGAATCTTGGGTATAATATGGGCATATAGGGAGGGACCTCTGCAAGAGATAGCCAGCAGTCAGTGAAGGTGAGGCTAGACTGCTCAATATGTATAAAGTACTATAGGGTAATATTATGAGTAAAATGTATTACACATAAACTTGAATCAAAGCAAAATGTAATTCATTCAGTTGGAGAGACCGTCCACTCCTAATATTACTCAGAATATTACCCTATAGTACCCTATAGGGTACTATAGGGTAATATTACCCATAGTACCCTATACGATGAACGACAGCCATAAACTTGAATCAAAGCAAAATGTAATATGGCTGTCACTCATCGTATTAGATACGAACCACAGTTCATTTGACCGAGTGATTCTAAATCACTTGCCGGGCAGTTGAGCCCTCAACAGTCTGCAGATTCAGCAACTGCAACTCTAAGCAACAGGCCTTACAAGCCATCCATCATCATCATCATCATCATCGCAGCATGTACTTCGCTCTCATCACGATGATGATGATCATCATCATTGCCATAATTAACATCGCCATTTCACCATCATCACCAACAAGGTCCAACGTCACCATCTCATCACAGCAATTTGTACCACCATTTCTCGATCTCTGTGTGTCATCCTTGCGCAGGGACCATGCTAATCTTCTTTCTCTGTATCGTTCCACTTCTAACGGATGTCCCGAACGACTCACAGAATGTATTTCATTCTCAAGCAGTTGCAAATTTTCGGAATTGGTGCTATGGAATGAATGAAAAAGGAGGTTGACCAGGAGTAGGGAGTGGAGATTTAACGGAAGGATCATGGATTAGCAACATAGTACCTTACGAGTAAGTTGAATTGCGTTCGGATAGTGGTTAACGCGTTGCCACACCAGCAACTCCGAGAACTTGACACCTGGTTTCTTTGGATGCAAAACATATGAAGACAGAAAAAGGAAAGAAAAACAAATATGATCAGACAGGACAGGCCAGATTGCACATAAAGAAGGACAAAAAGAAATAAGGCAATGAGGAGGGGCTTTGGTGGATCGTGGTCAGTCTAGTACAGTGCTGTTTACAAGTCATCAATGCTGGTTCTATAGGGAAACTACTTGCTGGCTACATCATAAGCAAAACTGGCTAAGACTGCCAAGATAACCCCGGGTAGAATTGTGAGGTCCCCCCGGCCTCGATTTCCAAGCTATTAATGAAATGATTCGTCTTTTTAACTTTTTTGAAGTTTTTCCTTAAAAGTTAAAAAAAGAAAAGAAAAAAAAAGGCCGTGAGATTAGCAGTTGAAGATGGCCTTTAGGAAGGCTATGGGGGGGTCGGCTCATAGCAGTCCCCACCTTGAGTAGGTGACTAGTACAGCAAGGGCAGGGCTGACCCCTCTTCACTTTTCTTCTTCTGAGTCCATTCTGAACTCATGCTTGCCGGTAATAAGCAACCGGCGGACTGATGCCCCCCAGAATAGAAGGGGCTGGTGTGTTAAGAAAAACAAAAAAAGAAAAAGAAAAAGATTAGCAGTGGAAGGGAGCAAAGATAGAGAAAGGAGGAAGTCTGGACAGATGGGGAGAAGAACGAAGGGGAGAGGGCAAAGCTGGATAAATTAACAGCAGCAGATAACTGCGAGCAATGGGAAGGAAAGCATGACGTGGACGGAGAAGAAAAAGTAGGCCGTAATAGGATGATGAAGAAATGGTTCATATATTACATATAATACATAAATGGGATTTCGTTTCTCGAGCACAAGAAGAATGACACGACAAAGTGGACGCAGGCGAGGCAGGGATGTGGGAGAAGCCGTGGACGTGGAGAGAACGGGACTGGCAAGAGGGAGGAAGAGCAGGAGCATGAGTGCTGAGGGTAGAGGAGGAAGTGAAGAGGTGAAGGTAGCCAAGATGGGGGGACAGGAAAAAAAAATGAGGAGACTGCAGGGCAGCAGGCGCAGGCAGGGCAGAAAGGCACAGAGAGGGCAGGGTGGGATAAGGTCAAGGAGCAGATGGAGTATTACAACCTTCTAAGTTCAAGGTCACAGGTTCAAATCCTAACAAGGATGATGACACGAGATAGAAAGACCAGGATGCGGAAAAGATGGAGGACGAGGAGGATAACCGCAAGGGAGGGGAGAAAGAAGAGGAAGCTGGAGAAGGCAGGAGAAGAGGAGAAACAGCAGGAGAAGGATGAGTAGTACCAGATAAAGAGCATGGGGTTGGGGCAGTGAATCCATCACAGTCAATCCAAAGGAACAATAACAAAACGAGTGAAAGTGAGAAGTTGGGAACACACGCATGCAGCAGCATTAGTGCAAGCACCTAGGTTACCTGGGATGCCTGGCTGGGCAGCTGGGTAAGTCCCCGGCTAGGCACACGAGGCAGCTTAGAAAAAGAGGATTTATAAACATTTTTTTTGAGGTTTTTTTTTTTCCATCACTGTTGGAGCATTTCTGCACCCAGTGAGATAAGCCCAAGTCCAGACTCTTATTGTATTTCGAAAGGGGGATATAGAAGGGTTGTAAAAGGGGCTTGACGGGTTTAAGCCTGGCTTAATTTTCTGTGTGCCCGGGCATGAATGCCGTGCTCAAACACACACCCGACCACCCGGACAGGCAGAACCCCACACAGGGTTCCAGGCAGCCCCAGCACAAAATCAGGAAAACAAATTCGAAAAAAAAGAAAAGAAAAGCATTACAGTTCTGAAAAAAAAAATAGTTGTGCAGAATTGCAATGCAAATGACCTTTGGCTGAGGGTCACCTCAGTTTACAGGCTTTCAGGCTGAAACGACACAGGGCCTGTAGGCCCTTGATTTCAGGCTTTTGGCCTGAAAACGTCATGGGCCTGGAAATGGCCCGTGCAGCCTGTTGCAGGCGCAGCATGTAACACACACACACACACACACACACACACACACACANAGAGAGAGAGAGAGAGAGAGAGAGAGAGAGAGAGAGAGAGAGAGAGAGAGAGAGAGAGAGAGATTCTCAACAATCACACACCAACAACCTCTATTCCATCCCAAACAGTTCCAAATTGATAGAATCGAGTGTAGAACACTAGAGAAGGGAAAGATCCTCCACATCTGTGTCACTGGCCATCAGAGTGCCTCCACGTCCCTCGAGCTAATGCGCACCTGCACTGAAGAGGTAGTCCGTTTAGAAGTGACAACATGGCTCGTGGCAAATCTCTAACAAGTACAAATTGATAATCCATTTAATGTGCAGGAGGATGCACCTTGTAGGAGTAGAGTCCACTCAGTCCAGGGGCACCTTGCTGACTGGCCGTCCCCTTTCCCGGTCTTCCAGGGTGGGCCTAATAAGGCTTCCGGGAAGGGGCTGCTGCCGGCAGGTGTCGGCAGGCCATGGGCTTGTAATAGGACTACATAGAATAACTGATGGCATCCAAAATGGGCAGACTGGGTGCACGGTGATCTATCCAGGTAACCAACTGGCTCAACTCCAAAGGGACCTGCCGAGTTTGAATCCGACCTCTACAACAACCAGGGCGCTTTTTAAAAGAGAAACAGATCATCCATTTATCAAACGAAAGAAACAGATTTTCACAATCATAGCCATCAACCCACCCAACTACCCCAAGGGAGCAAACCAAACACAGGTTTGTCTCCCCTGAAAGCATGCCACACCATGCACCACTGGACATCACCCAATAAGCACCTGATGTTTATTTATTGATGGCAATCATTGGACTTCTCCATTTGCAAATAAAGCCCACAACTAGAATTAAGGGCTGCTCAGATGGAAAGAAAACTTACAGATGACCAGGACCACAGAAGATTCCAATCCATTTCAGATGACCCTGAGGTCTCATTCCAGTCATTCATCTTTCCAAGCGTTTGCGCAAGCAAGTCGCGCACCTAGAAAAGACAAGCGATTGAAGCCAAGCAGATGGAAAGTATGGCATTGCGACACAGCAGAGCAAATGCAAAAGCAAACAGGAGACGGCTTGAGCTTCGAAGTCAGGGCGAAGAGCTCAAACTTTGAACTTCAGACAATACCTTACTTTGCAGCCATGAAGCAGAATCAAGGTTGCCTACCGTCTTCCACTGAATATAATGATGAACAGTCGTATTTTGGGCAACTTTCAGTCTAGATACACTGATACAGTAATAATGACCATACACACACTCTATTTGGAGGGAGGGGGTAGCAAGTTTGAGCAATTATTGTTTGTCTCTATCATGGAAGTTATTGACGCCTTCCGATGTAAAGGCCCTTCTAGAGAAAGACGGGTAATAGATCTTTCACATAACAACTATTTTCTTTCCCCCCGTCATTCTATTTGCGCAATTTGCAGCCGCAGAAACTGCCATTACATCATTACATCATCTGTTTAGAATCTTAGATCTTTTCATGGGCTCTGTTTCACCTCTTTCAGCTCTTTGTATCACACTTATCAGGCAACTTGAGAGTTCCGTCAGGAATGAAAGTTTTTTTTTTTTTTTTTAACGGGCCCAGTGCCCAAGGCTGATATTACCAATGAAAACTGCTTGAGGCCGGGGTCCTCAGTCTACCCGGAGTGGACGAAACGAACTTGCTGGGAGCCGGGCTCAGCGGCCCTGAAAGTAGAAACAGAAGAAGGCAGAGGCTTGGCTGGTGGCATAATAGGAGCAGTATTGTTGTGACAATCAATGGACCTGCTTTCCAGCAGTCATGTTTTGGTGGCATACCCAGCAATAGGAGATAAAGTAAGCATAAGCATAGTTAAGAGTGCCCAGGAGTTATCTGGCTATGGAGGGGTTGGGACCGCATATGGAACCAACTGGACACCGCCTGCCCATGGCCATGGGAATGGAGAGCCCTGCTCTGCGAAACCTGGCACCTGGACCAGGCGGATGACTTCACACAAAATTTGTTTAAGATAGGGTGTCGGACAGTCCTCTGGGCTCGGTGGTGGCAAAGCTGCACACACGAGATGGAACAAGTGAGGATGGATGGCCCACAATTCACAGACTCCATAAAGCAACAAACACAAGCAGACATAACTCAGCAATGGGATCCTGTGAAGGTAAAAATAATACACCTCCATTCCACCAAGGAAATCCAACAGAACGTCCAACAATTCAGGGGCAACTGGCTGGGGGGAAGAACAGGGGGAAACTGGGAGCAGTGAGATGGAGCGAGCCGCAAGGGGACGAGCAAGGAGAAAAGGCCAGGAAATACTACCTGGTGTTCCACACTGGACCCATCGATCCCGCTGCAACCCCTTTCAGACTTCCCTGACCCTTTCCCACTGCATCCCCATGAATCCCCTGGGACCACACTGGACCACACTGGACCACACTGGACCACACTGGACCACACTGGAACAGTAGCTTCAGATAAGCCGAAAACAAAACAACACCAGGTCCAAGGGGTTAACGAAAGTCTGACAAGCAAAACAGAAATGAGTGAGAAGAAGGGAGAGACTGGACCAAAAGGGACGGGAGGCCCGGATCAAAGGGTCTCAGAGGAGTATAGCTGCTCTGCCTTAGATGGGAAGGGCACAGAGGGTTTAGGGTTTTAGAACAAACATGAGCTACAGTAAGACACTGGTCAGCACGGGGTTTAAGTTGTTTTTCGACAGACCCAAGCACAGGCCTGAAAGACAGAAACCGCAGTACCAGGATAGACAGACATGATCTGGCACCCAGTCAAAGGGTGAAGAGGTACCAGCTTCCCCATTAGTAGAAGAAAAGAACCTCAGTCAAAGCCCCCAATGACTATTCAGACTGTTCACATGGGGCGCTGGACCCGATTTCCAGCAGGTGAAGCTCCCCACCAATAGATGGAGCGGTCGGCACCGGGCCTACCAGGGGAGGCTGCTTTTATCACCCCCCTTAGTACCCTGAGGAGGCCTGCTTAAAAAAAAAAAAAAGAAAAAAAAAAGAAGGATTCTAAAGACAGTTCTAGCATTCCATTGTCACAGTAAGCAGCAGTAAAACAAAACAAAACAAAACAAAACAAAAAAAAGAAGGAAAAGAAAAAAAGAAAGTGGTGGTATATGATGACAGGTTTTGTCTGGAGTTGGCAGCTGAAGTAGCTTTTCCAAGAGGGTATGTAAGACTTTGTTCATGTTTTCTTACGCAATAATGGGCTTGACAGCAGGGTTGCATACCCCCCGACCGCCGGCCGTTTTGCAGCCGACCGGTATGGACAACCAGCAGGTTCTGAATATGGGGCTGTACTGCGCTTGCTGAGTACAGCCCAAATCCGCTGAGACACTTTTGGGGATGGGGAGGGGTACGGGGGGGTTATGGGGGGGGTTATAGGGGGGGTATGTGAGGGTATTCGGGGGCAATGCTGTCAAGATCAGCCTCAGGCAAAACATGTCAAACTCTATCTCACGATTCATGTTGTGGAAAATAATAATTGGCAGGTTCAGGCCACATCAGTGGATAAGGATATGACAAGTACTCAGGTCTGACATGGTCCATAATGTCTCATATAGGGACACTGGACCCGTTTTCCAGCAACTGCATCTCCCCACTAACGGCTGGAGCCCTCCCCTGCGAGTCCGCTTACTGAGGCTGTTCTTATCACCTCAGTAAGCGCCACTCCCTTCAGAGGTTTCGACAAGAAGGAAAAGAACAAACGAACAAGTACTCAGGGCAGGGATGATTCCTCATAAAGAAGGGTGGTACAAGAAAGCAAAGGTTTCCGATCCAACATGACTTTGGAAGATATAGAAAAATTGAGAAAATCCAGATGATCTATCACATTTGCAATGAGCTTGCTGGGATACAACCGGGGGGGCGTACTCGCAGGGGCACACTTTGTACCTTGTTTGTGTTTTGACTCTTTTGAGTCTTTTGACCTGCAAAACCCCTGATCGTTTGTTGTGCATCTTGCAGTCCAAAGGGTACATGGTGTGCTAGGAGGGGGCAATCCAAAGCTTCCCCACACCGTGAGTGCAGAGACCCGGGTGAAGGACCCTCAACATTTCTGTTTGTGATGTGAGCTGTCAAGACCCTTTAGGCCTAGTGGAGGTCGAGTTCATTCCCAGTCCCTAGGGCTGCTAGTCGAGCCTCTGTGTAGCAATTATGTGGACAACATGGACTATGAGGAATTCGGCAGTCCGACGTGCAAAGAGCTTAAGCCCCCCCCCCCCTCCTTGAGATGAATGCAAGGACAGGAGTAGGAGGGGAAGGGAAAGCAAGGATGCCTTCTCTTTATTCTTGATGTGAATAGCCAGAGCTGAGAGGTTCACAAACAGAACCTGAGAGGAATACATGAGAAGGGCAAGCTGATGGTCAGTCCTCCTGTAACATGGAGCAATCAATGCTGGTCAGGATCCTTCGGCCAAATGGAAGGATGCATGATGTGTAAATGATGTGTCTTACTACGTTGACTTGTCGGGGGAATAGGAACCGGACTGACGCTTGACATCCTCTGATGCATAGGAGGGAGGCCCGGGAGGAGCTCAGGTTGCTACTAAGGACTGACATCACAGCGCAGTGGTTGGTAATACGTAAGCGTGTGGACCACTCTCCGGATAAAGCCCAGCAGGTATGAGAAGACTTCAACAATAACGTAATAGGGCAGGGTAAGGTGGCGGAGCTTCAGGAGAACAGACTCAAATGGATGTGGTGGTCACTCGGAGAGGGCCTGACCACACCGGCCCGGTAAACACTGCAGCGAGGATCCAGGGGCTAAACAATAAAAGAGTAGAACAAAGGGACAAGGTGGGTGGACAGCAAACGCTGACAGCAGGGGTGGTTATAGCCGGTAGAACAGGGGAATCTAGATGGCTTAAACAATGGCTAGGGTTTAGGGTTTTAGAAGGACAAGCGGAGAGGGGACTTGCCTGTGTGTTGGGCTGGGGGGCATGCTGCAAGGATTCACAGTAGGAAGAAGCATAGCTTTTCAGTTGAGGACTCCCTCGCTCTGTTGGGTTCCAAATCAGTCTTCCTGTTATGGTTGTGGTTTGCTTGGATGGGAGGCTGGACCCGGTTTCCAGCATCAAGCCAAAGCTGGGTAATGGCCCCAGTTCCCGGGTTGAGATGTGGAGGAATTCCCAGCCTCCTTGTTTTACAAAAAAAACAAAAACAAAAAAACGAACCAGAGTGACGATCCGCAGAATGGATATGGACCCAGGACCATAAGAACCTGTTATTAAAAAAAAAAAAAAAAAAAAAAAAAAAGTTAAAAAAGTTAAAAAAACACACTTCACTTGCAGTGCTTTAGTCTATTGTTTTGGGTCAATGATCCCTAGCCCCACTGACGCTGGCTTCCTTGTGATGTAATGCCAGGCTATCTTCAGGACATACTACTGCTTGTTATCATCAGCCCAGAGGTAAGCTCTTGCTTTCTTGTTGAGTTCAGAAATGCTGTGGTCCAGGATTGTCCAAATAGACGTTAGGTAACACATCATGGAGAAAATGGAGGCGTCGATCATTTAGGCTCTACGCAGAAGGCCACAAAAGCCAGGGTAAGAATCATCCTTTCAACTAACGCCCAGCCTCGGATCACGCACGCAACAACGAGAAGAAAGGGAGGACAAAATTCAAGAGGAGGAGCTACGCTCAACCAGCGGGTGAATACAACAGCGCGCGACATAGTAGCATCACTAGGCTTGGTCGACAGGGAGAGGAGCCAGTCTGATGCTCGAAGAGTTGTGTCCGTAGTAGTAGACGCAATAGAACGGAACTGACCTGCCAAATCTCGAGTCAGAAGGGTGCAAGGAGACGGGAGCCATAGAACATAATTGCCTAACCATGTCTCAAGACAGTAACATCCGTACATCCGACAAGATACACTGACATAACACACCCTCACCACCCCCTTTCTCCCCACAACCAAACCGCCGCATACCTTCCACCATACCCATGACAAACCCCAGCAGCCTGACACCTAAAACAATACTCGGCCCCCCCAC